TTTTTTTTTTCTTCAGGTAATCGTACGAATATAGCTATTTGTTTGTTTCTTTTTGTATATATATATATATATATATATATATATACGCCATCGATATGTTAAATAATTTTTACCTGACTTTTATCACGATCTTTCCTTAAATAATCTAATTATTAGTAAAAACTACGCGTATGAAAAAACGAATTATTGTCATGATCAATTACGTCAACTGTTTTACGTAAAACTTCTTTTTTCAATTTTGAGTAATTAAGTGATCGATAACAAAAAATTATCAACAATAATTATAAAAATAGAAATGTTTCTCACAAGAGTAATGTAGAGTAAATCGTATTCATAGTCGTAATTCAACTGAGATCCGATTTGAACTAAGTTTGAAAAACAGACTATGTTCTAAAGTTACTGCCAACACTGAAAATACGACAATTTACGTTACGTGCACTATAGATTTTCAGTACAGGTAGTCAATTTTGGAATATAGCCTCAGTCTTTTATTTGCAAATGCTTCTTAAACTACGATTTAATAAGTCTGATCGATTCAAACTTTGGTTCAAATTTAGCTCACCTGAAAGGAAAATCAATCGTGGATCGATCTACGACTGTGAATACGAATCCATAGAATAATTAAATTTAATTAGAAAAATATATGTTTATATGTATACATATACATCCTCCTCCTTCTCCGTTCATAATCCTCCGGAAGGATGTGGGGACTTCTATCATGCCTGCACTGAGAAAAATTTCCGGGCTTTATCCGTTCAAAAAGTAACAAACAGATATTTCCGATTGATTTTGATCGGATTTATAAGACTATCCGATCAAATTCATCGGATAGTCTTGTAAAAAATTTGTTACTTTTTGAACGGACATTTTTCTCAGTGTGTGGTGCGCACGCTGATTGTACACAGTCATAAGGGACGTACTGTTCAACGTCGATTCCGAACGACGATTTTGTTTATAGAAGTGCACATGGCAAGGATACTGTCGGTAGTTTGCCATTGCCTGCCGAGAGGAGTTACGAGCATACGAAAATTTTTCGGTTCTGCCGTGGGATCGAACCCGGGATCTCTAGCATAGCAATCTCGTACACTGCCTGCTATGACACACTCGCGTTCATATATATACATGGTGTTCCAAAATTCGCACATTTGGAATACTTTATGACATGATACTTTATGCTAAAACAAACAACTTTTTCCTTTAACAAAATTGCGTCCGATAAATAATTTTTGTGTTTATTCGTATAACTTTACCCTGCTTTCCTGTAAAAACTACTTGTCAGACGCAATTTTGCAAAAGGAAAAAGTTGTTTGTTTTAGCATAAAGTATTATGTCTTGTACTCCGAATGTGTGAATTTTGAGACACTCTGTATATTTACAAAATGATGTAGGAGAAAGTTGACTAAGTCGTACCCACGATTAAATCGTACCTCCATTGTATTTTCTAAACGAAACATTTTTTTTTAATATAATGACACTGACGTAACGCTGGTAATATGGATTAAGAACTATCATTTTTGTTTTGTCTTTGAGTCGTCTGTTTACGAGTGACATTCAAAATTGATTTTGTTCGGTGTCTGATCTAAAGTTTTGATACAATTTACCTAAGGTGTTATTAGTACAAGGTGGGTAATTGAATTATAGTGTTCTTCAGGGTTATAATTGATATTTAAATTCTTTTCGAGTATAGCATCAAATTAGCAAAATATTTGTAAGTTATGTTGCTTTTGGCAAATTTATAAAAATAGAAGAAGTTGGGTAAATTGTACTTGTCGCTGGTCTTTATATTGTACCGGTACGATTTTTGCAAGTGACGCGAGCAATATGTGAAGGTTACTATTATGATAAAAAAGGACCTATAGTGGACTGGATTTAGTATGTCAGGTGCTCTAAGTGGTTGCACGAAACCTGTAGTGACAATCCTGACATTTATCAAAACTGTTTAAATAAGCGCTCAAGAAAGTGATTACTTATCAATTATTGAGTCTTTCTATTAAATTTTTCTATTGAATCTTTCTATTGAATTTTTTCTATCGTGACGGAAAAACCCGTAATTGATTTTATTTCCAAAATTTATTTTTTCAAAATATCTGAGATTTTAATATTCTGAAATATAGTGCAATGATAACTTAAATCAATTTAACACGGAGAAAAATGTACAGTAAATACTACTAGAATTCTAGTAAACTTTATGGAATTATCAATATTCATATAGGAATACGTACCCACTTATGTAAAATTTTCTTTACATTTCTGGTAAATGAGATTGTCGTATGATAATCATTCTTACCTTATTGACAACAATTTTTTCTTTAGCATTGACAAAATTTACTTTACTGCATAGTTTGTGCTCGTCAATCTTGAAAATAATACGATTTACTTTACTGTAAGTATAATTTATCAAATGTTAATCCTTATTTTATCGACTCGGATGAATAAATCCAATAAATATTGATAGCCAATTCGAGTCATCCACCAGATGTAATTTGTGTATAAATTCTTTATTATGTTATTATGCTTACAAACGTTTCGATCCTTGTATCGGTAATTTTGTTCTTCAGTAATTTTGTTTACAATTTTGTTTAAACGTTAGAGAATACGATATAGGCGACTTCCTCTAATATAAAAATATAATCTAATCTTACAAAATATATAACAATCTAAAATATATACCTAATACTATCTTAATATGTAGATATTATGTTACAAATGCATTTGTACAATTTAACATCTCACAGTGTCTGGTTATAAATTCATAATTTTTCACTGAAACTTCTGTGAATTTAAGATTATTTGCAGGGTTGGGTAAGTTAATTTTTTCTTTTAACTAAGTTAAGTTAAAGTTAACAA